CTTAGTCACCTCTGAAGACCCCAAGTAGGTAAGAATGTGGGCTCTCTGGATCTACCCTGCACCACGCCACCCTTTCATTTCTGCATTCTGGCCTTTGGCCTTTTCTCTGCCATGGGACCCTTGCATATGCCGCAGTCTGAAGGCTGAGTAACGGGCAGGACCCCACTTCATCCTCACAGCCACCCTGTGAGAAGTGAGAACATCTCCCATTTACAGAGGCAGAAATTAAGCCCTGGAGAAGCCAAGTCATGTGCTGTGTCAGTGAGAGACCAGGATTTGCACTCAGGCAGCCCAGGCTATGGAACCCAATAGAAAGAAGCAAAGAGCTTACTAAAACACTAATATTAAGAAAAACAACATAAAAACAAACAAAATGGCCCGAAACAGGAAAAACTCCACAAAGGAATCGAAACAGCCCTTTCTTTCTGAAAATCCTCAGCTTGACCATGAGACACATCTGGGATAAAAGTGTCACTATCCTGCTTTCCAGATGTAAAAGCTAACCTTGCCGAATGAGAAGAAACGTGTGCTGGATCACACACGCAGGCAGGAGAGGGGACTGGGAGCCCTTAGGACACCTGACCTGAGGCCCGGGCCTCCCCACCTGAGTTCCTGCCTCTTCATATTCTGCAGCCTTCCACTGAAAATCGCAAAGGCTCATCTGTAATCAGGGGATCCCCACATAATGCAACAAGTGCCAAGGGCCCCAGCAGCAGAGGCAGCATGACTCCAACTGCGCAGAACACATGAGCACCAGAAGAAACAGCTGAAAAGCAAAACACTGGGCCGGGCTTTGGGATTCGGAGAGATTTTCATTTCCCAAAATCCACTCTGAGATAGCCTGACGTCCAAATGCAAAAAAGTAAATGTAGATCCTTACCACACTCCGATACATTAAGATGAACTCATTGTGTGTCAGAGATCTAAATATAAAACTATAAAAGCACTAGAAGAAAACATAGGAGAAAGGCTTTGTGAGCTTGGGTTAGGCAAAGATTTCGTAAATAATATACTAAAAGCGCAATCCATGAAAGAAATCACTAATAAACTGGGCTGCATTAAAACTTCATGAAAAGTCTGGTATTTCAAAAGACACAGCAGGTTCCTGTTGAGTACCATCCAGCCACAGCACTGACCCTGAGAAGCCACAGTGCTCTGTCCAGCTTAAACAATGACCGGAGTTCACACACCTGGGTTTCTATGTGTACTGTCCAACTACAGGGCTGACCGAAGCCTGCAAGGACCTTGGGGACTTACCATCTACTATATAACTCCAGCACTAATGAGAGTGTACAAAGACTTTAGTTTTGTAGGTGCACTGGTCAGATCCAGCAATGACTAGAATGAGTAGTGACGCTGGGGTCCCATGTTCTGTCTGACTCCAGTACCAACAAGCACCTACAGACTGGATTCCTGTGTGCAGTGTCCGGTCCCAGTCATGCACAGAGTGTGCATTGATCTTGGGTATGTAACTACTTTCTGGAGCATGTAGTGACCCTGGGTTTCATGGATATACTGTCCAGATTCAGCATTGACCAGAATGTGTACTTATCCTGGACCCTATGTGTTCTGTCCAACTCCAGCACCCAACAGACTGTGCAATGATGCTGAGAACAGCTATGTACTATCTTGATCACAGGAAGACCCTTGCTTCCTATGTGATATGTCATGTCTGGCTCCAGCACTGACCAGAGGTGCAAAGACTCTGAGCTCCCTAGTGCAGTGCTGGCCTCGGCAGTGCACAGAGCATGCAAAGATCCTGAGTACATAATTGTACTGCCCGGAGCCCATAGCCTCCCTAGGGAGACTGTGTTTTTACTATCTAACTCCAGCACATACCTGGGTGTGCAATGACCCAGGTTCCTATGTGTCCTATCTTGCTGCCACACGGGCATGTGGCCTCCATTAGGACAGAGTCTTTCCGTCCAACTCCTAGCTAAGCCCCAGGGCCTCCCACGTAGCATGTGCTGAGTGCAGGAGAACATCTGGGAAATATACAATCCACATGTTTGTTTGCTTTGGTCGCCTTTAGAGCCCTTAGCCAGCTCTGAGTTAGCACCTTCACCCAAAGGCTCAGAGGACCCAATGGAACCAAGTGAACTTTCCCTGTGGGCGAGGAGCCACAGCTGTTGGTATGCTCGTCAGCCAAACACTGTCATCCCTGGCATCTGGGCTAACACTGCCTTCTCATCCTTCCTTTGGACCCGGGAAAGGTGGTGTTTGGTAAAGTGTAGGTGGTGTTGGTCTTACAACAGTGTGCAAATCCACACTGCTTTCTGGGGCCAGGGATTTCTCATGACAAAAACACACAGGGCACAGAAGTGGGTATCCAGGGCTACTGCTAAAACGAGATCCTTCGGGCTGGTGGACTGTGGCTCAGAAGCTGGCTAATTTGGAACCCTTAGTCGGTCAGTGTTTCCCAGCATGGGAGTTCCATTTCACTTAAAAGTGGTACAATCCCAGAGTGAATTTAGTCAAACACTCTGTTTAAAACTCTGCAACAAAGGGACTCTGGGCTTGGTCCTTATAAGTCAGGGTCTCTTGTTTAGGACAAGGTCATGCTCTGGGTAGGGAGCTGACTCGTGGGTGGCAGGATGTTTAGCAGCATCCCTGGCCCCCACCCAGTAGATTCCAGCAGCATTGCCTGCCCCTAGATGTGACAACCCCCAAATCCCCTAGACATTGCTGAATGACCCAAGGGGACAAAAGTCGTCCCCTGGCTGAGAACCAATATTCTAAAGGGTGTCCTATCACAATAAAAGTTTGCTGGGTTCCATCTTCGCAAGGCCCAGGGGAAAAAAATCCCCTTGCTCAAAGTGTAGCATGGTGTCTTACTTTTAAAACCGTGATCCCAAAGGAGCAATGCAGCTGAAGGCGCCACCTCCCACCCAGTCCCACTGGTGACCTGTTTTCTGGGAACTCCTAAACAAGGGCTACTTGAACAAGCCACCTCATAAAGGCTGAGCTGGACGAATCGCCTGAGCTTGGGCAGCTGGAGGCATCCCCCCAGATCCCACAGCCTTGGAGGGCTCACCGGAATTTGGCAGGTCTAGAAAAATTCCCCTGTGAAGCCAGCTCATGGGAAACTCTCCTTAGCAGCTAGTTAATTTAACTCCTCGCTGTGTCGACCCACCAGAAGCCCTGTAAGCAAACTTCAAGAAAAATGTGGAAGCCAAACAAACACTTCCTCCTCCACCACCACGCCCTCCGAAGAAAGCAGGTCTCTCCTCCGATTTCTCCGTCGTCTGGTACCTATTACCTTCCTGCTCGGACAACTGGAAATGACCACTCCAGAGAACAATCCGGGTCACATCAAGGAGGTGAGGTGGGGTGAGGGTGGCTTCGGAGCCTGAGCTCTCAGTAGTCCCTGTACCTCCACAGGGCCACTTTTGAAGTCTCAGGGCGCGCCCTTTCCCAGTCCGACCCGTGGGGATCCGGGACGAAACTCTAGGACTCGCCCAATGCAGAGGCTGTGTGTCCTTGGATATGTCGCTGCACTTCTCTGAGCTAGTCTCAGAGACCCCCCACCCAGCCCGAGAAGACGGCTACCCTTTTCTGTCACCCGGGGCTACTCACGGAGCCTGGGGCTGCGCAGCGTGCACGCTGTCCCGCGGCGACAGCAGCAGCAGGAGCCCGAGCAACGGCCCGAGCAGGGCGCCCCACATTTTCCGGCTCCTCAGAGGCGCCGCGCCGGGGAAGGGGGCCGGGCCGGGGCTGGGCCGGGGCTGGGGTCCGAGCACCGCCGCTACCCTTTTCTGTCACCCGGGGCTACTCACGGAGCCTGGGGCTGCGCAGCGTGCACGCTGTCCCGCGGCGACAGCAGCAGCAGGAGCCCGAGCAACGGCCCGAGCAGGGCGCCCCACATTTTCCGGCTCCTCAGAGGCGCCGCGCCGGGGAAGGGGGCCGGGCCGGGGCTGGGCCGGGGCTGGGGTCCGAGCACCGCCGCG